AGTCTCCATTGTGATTGGTCGCCTTGACCGAAATTAAGTTAGATATTATTATTATTATTACATGTTGTGATCTACGTTGCACATGCTATTAGTCTTATTTGTCCTACTATAGCTTAATTTTTTTATGTAGAAGAGGGACTAATCGAGCCTGTAGCTCACCCGATGGAAAGTGGTGCCCGCTGCTCGTTTTGGAGTTATCAGGATTCTCCCTAAAATTCGTCAAATATACTATCGTTCTCGTTCGAAAATATTTTTACCGACTTAAAAAAGGAGGAGGTGATCAATTCGAGTGTATTTTTGTATGTGTTACCTTAGAACTTTTATCTAGGTGAACCGATTTTGATGATTCTTTTTTTATTTGAAAGCTCTAGGTGAACTTTTTTCTAGGTGAACTGCATCTAATGTGGTCCATATAAATTTGATCAAGATCTGACGAGTAGTTTTTTAATTATCCTTAATAATGCGTATTTAATTAACTTCGACTACATTGATGATGTTCTCATTTTATTTATATTGAAGTCGGTCGTACTAAATTTTTAATTTTACCACTTGTTTTGTGTGTGGTATTAACCCTATTTATTTCATCAAATGGTATCTTCAAAAAAGTAGAAGCTTGTATACCATCTAATCAAGTTTATACTATAACGTATTTGTTTAATCATCCTACGAGAAAAATTCGCATCGTCAAGACGTTTTGAAATATGCAAACAACCCTTTGCTACAGTCAGTTTGCTTAGGTAAATACAATTATCTTGCGTATACAAGGTTGCCTTTAAAAGAAAATTTGCAAGTGCCGTATTTAACGCCCGAAGGCACAGAAATTGCCGTAGATATTTTATACGTCTATTTATGTTCCGGTCATATTTCTTAATGCAGGTTTTATTATTATTAAAAATCTTCGGAAAATTCTAGATGTTTTAAATAAATGACACCAACAGTAACTGAATTCAAGTTGTGTACCGGTGAAATTTTAACAGGTTGTTGTTACCAGATTTATCAAAAGTTCAACGGTAAATGAACATCAGAATAAACTCCTTTCTTAATTGCAATTCTTTACATTTTTATTGCTAATTTAACGTACAATTTTCGGAATAATGCCTTTGGGTATTCTTAACCACAAGTTAAAAATACAGTTAAAGTTTATAGTTTATTTTATTTCAGAAATTCTGCACTGAAGTTGAGTGGCATGGACTTTGTCTTAGCTACCCTCACAGAAACGAGATTAGGTACATATATGTTGTAGGTTGCAAATATTGTCTTTTCCTGACACAAAAATCCATAACGTAGTCATGTCATAGAATAAAACACGCACACAAATTGTAACCGAAAATAAAAATACGTTTGTTCCCTAAAAAACAAATCAATAAATAAAACTGGCAACTACTGTATTTGAAAAAAGAACATGCGTGAGTGTCGTGAAACACTCGGTTAGAACGAAGTGCCTTTCGTAGTATATTATTATTGATAAACGTATTGATTAACAAATACAATGAATTACTAGGGTCTGTTAAAATAAAGCATCATTTGAAAATTGAAATAAAATAATATTTCTTTCATGGCAAGATAAGAAAAAGTACGCGGGAGATGCATATTATTCCATCTCGCTTTCTTATAGCCGCCAAAGCCGTCTACACTACGTCAGTCACTATTCCTCACCTAGCCTCCATCCGCCAAATTCGTTCCGACCGATAAGGAACTTCGTTCCAAAAATAAAAAACAGACAAGTAACAAAGTCGTAACTAATTGGGAATGTAAATAAGATATCAGTTTAACGTTAAGCATCTAGGCTGAGCTACTCTGAGTTATAGAAGCCAATTTTTCTAAGGCTCGAGAAAGGTCGAGTCCTGACTTTGATACGTGGAACACATTTGTTATCACATATGCTTTTGGAGCTAAAATTCTTTGAGAATTTTATAAAGAAATATGCCAACCGAAGTGGATTACGTGACGCCTTCTTAGAAACTTAATCCTTCAGCTCTTGTACTTGGTGGGTTTTACAGAGAAACGAAAAGAAGTATTTTTACCGCATGCTAATGCATACTAAACTACTTATTGCTTGCTATATACGAGCGAGAACATACTTGTTATATTTTATAATAAATAAAGGTATTTAAGTTGTCCTATATGTCTTATTCATTATGACTGAAGAAAAATTATGTTACAGTATAAGGAATTAGTGAACAACGAGTAAAAGACTTGAATTAAGGAAAATATAAATAAAGGTTATTATAGTGTCATTTTCGTAACATGAAAGAATTCGCATAGTATTCCAATACTTTTTAGAAATAAAAAAATAAAAGTTCTTGTTAATAAAACTTTACAAAAAAAAACTAAATTCGTGTTAGGACATATCTAATTATCCTTAGATATGTCTTCCTTATAGTCTTTATACATATATAAATCCTACACGAAAAATCATCAAGACTTGATCGCAAGTGATGATTTGTGTTGTGTGTACAATAAAAATTTAGTTAATTCTACAATAAAAACTAGGTCGATTAGCGATTATCAATATAAATGTAAATACAACATAGTTTGTATTGCAATATTAAGAGGAATATATAGCAAAGATATACAGTGCGATATAATAGTTTTTCCCGGTTATTTTCAATTGATACAAAGTTGCAGTATTCCGGCTTTTTGCTCACGAATGAAGCCTGCCCCAGGGACTTATTTTTGCAACAATACTGTCCCGTTGCAATATTGAAACAAAATAAAACTGTTACAATTTTTATTCTTACACTTCGATTCGTGCACTGCACAAAACAAAACTTTTTTTTTAAAGGATAGGGTGACAAACAAGCATACAGTCCACCTGATGGTAAGTGGTTGCTGTGACCCATAGACTACATTTATCCTAAATAAAGAATCAAAATGCAGATACGTCATCACCCATGAGGAGTAAGATGGAATGCCTCTTTTCCATCTTAGCCCTCACGGGTGATTTTTTATATGTATATAAAATATATGTATAGTATAGATATTTAGTATTAAATAAAACACATATACTTTATTAGGATATTACAATTTTTATTACTTTTTGATTTCATTTTGTAAATTTGAAATTGTTTACTTTTCTTTTGTTTCTATTATAACAATGAAAACATGCATTACTGTTAGTATTACCTGTGTTACAACTCTGGGAGAGGCCGCTGATTCCTAAGATACAGACTCGTCTAGTTTAGGAGTCAGAGACTTCATAAAATTTTTGTGATTTATTTTTGATAATAAAGAATTATTCTAATTATTATCATTATAACTCCATTCGTCAACTACCTTCGAAATAAAATTGTATATTATAAGGATAAATTAAACTAATGTAGTAATGGTATATATTTTTAATTATTATATCATAATATAATCAAATTTAAATTGGTTATTTATAAGACAAAACAATTTTTTTGTGTACATACATAATATATATATATATTTCAACAAACCGATCCTCAAATAAATTCTGATGCCCTCCATTTAGTCCTCTTCATAAATAGCGCAGTTGGGCCCCCAAATATATGCAAAGTCACACGTGGCTTTATCGTTGTTTGTCCAGTGCCCTGCAGCGAGGACCTTTTGCTCTCCTTGTGCAGAGGGCTTCATTCGAATTTAAATTACTGCGCTCGGCTTATGTCTCTGCAGGTTTATCGATATCAAATATAATGGACGTTCTAAGCCTAATAGGACATTTAATTGTAAAATTTGACACACACACATTAAATTGGTATTGACTTCATGTTTACATTTGAAAGACTATTTAGTGCTTACACTTGACGAGGCACTGAAACAAATGTTGATAACAGTCCTAAAGCAGCCAAATGGCTAAATACTCAAATGCTACCCAATTTTATGATATCTTTAGGTCTCGTGGTGTCACAGTCACTTTCACTTAAAGTGATAGAGACAGCACGAGACTTAATGGTATCTTTAAATTAAGCAGTGTTTGAGTATTTGGGCAATAGACCATCAAGCAAGAATAGAACAAAGATTACCTAAGTAATTTCTATTATTTACTACTTATGTGTCAGTTCGCAACGTAACTTTAATAAAGTACCATAAATATCAGTATTTCCTATATCATGCAATATTATTATTTTTGTAATGTTTACTACACGATCTTTATATGGGCTTAAATAGAAGCCGTGTCCCAATTCTTTGAGGAAAATGGAGTATTATTCCTCATAAATACAAATAGTTATTATATTTATGATTCTCGATATGTATTGTCTCTACGAGTGCGTTTTTAATTATAGGTTTGAAGACGTAATGATTATAATTGTTTCATGATGCTTAATAGTTAAAAACGTTTTCATTTTTTTTTTTTTGCTTTTTGTAACTGTCTCATAAAGTACATAATATATTTAATGTCGTACAAAAAGTTATCGTGACAATTTTCTATCAATTCAAAATTAATGTAAACGCCATACAAAAAAGGAACGATTTTCAGTGCCGTCTCGACAAAAATTCTTTGAAAACTTCTTCGTAAAAACTTGTACTCGCAGAGCGTGGATATATTTTATTTTTTATTGTCATATCTTAGCTTTTCTAGACTTGGTCTCGACGTCCTTTTGTTTTAGACTCCTCGGCTCTACACGAGATGAAACGTTGTATCAAATTACTGTCAAAAACTTAGTCTCTTAGTAAATATGTTTTGAGAGACATTCTCAGTTTTCGTCTAGGAACGGGTTATTGTTTCGGTACGAAACCTTTTTAGTGTTAGTCATTTTATTTCCTCTGGCTGTAACATACACCTTGTGGCAAGATATAGGCAGGCAGTATTTACATTTGAACTTATTTTTAAGTGAAATTTCTGTTTTTGAAAGTGAATTAGCTTCTCTTCAATGTCCTCTTCTAGTTTAAAAATGGTAAGATGATTTTAAAACAACTCAAAAGTGCAGACTAGCTTTGAGAAGTAGTTAGTGAAAAGTGATAATAGAGTGATTGGTGAGTCAGTGATTTGGAGAGCACATGTGCTGGCGCGTGGAGCGGTGGGTTGCGGCTCACCTATGACGAATAACAACAGCGGGTTGAACGGGAGCGCGCGGGGAATGCCCGCTTCCGCCGACATGGACTCGCTCGAGGAAATGCTCCGTAAGGTAAGATTTTTTTTAAATTTAGAATTAAGGATAATGCTATTTTGCATAGTATTTTTAAGAAAACAATTACTGAGCATAATTGATTGTATAGATTATATTCGAATTAAAACATACTTTAAAGTTTCTAGCAATTCTCAGTACCCACGAACGGTGAGGCAATAAGATATTTGATGCCTTGATTAACTTTTTGTGCGATCTACGCAGATTATCTATGTTTATAAAAAAAATCTAAGCTCATTGTACCTTGACGTTCTAGTAATGGTAAGATTGGTACTTCTTTTAGTTCTCCTTCTTTTCTATCATCCCAGTCCACTGCTAAACATGGATCTTACATACAGCAGAGGATTTGCGAGTATCACGGATTGGCAATCCCAGTAGAAGTTTGGTATCTTTGGCGTCGTTATTATACTTCGCTCAGCAAATTAAAAACTACTGAACTTTCAAATTATGTTCGGAGACTTTCTTTCATTTTCGCTACAAACGTTATGCCAATCATTTCTTTTTGATTAATTTCATTTTTAAATTAAATTTTACCGAACTTTCGAGAGACCGTTGTAGCAGTTTTACTTACGTAACGACTAAGATGTTTATGATGCTACGTTAACCTGTATTGGCTGCAGCTTTTAGTAATTAATTCTTGGTCCAATTTACGCCGGGAAGTCTTGGAATGGTACGCTTGGATTAGAAACAGATGGTAGCGCAAGCGATCTTTCGTATTAAGAATTCGAATATTATTTCATTTCAATAGTTTCACTTATTATCTTTGGTTGAAATGTGTGTTTTTTTGCGATTATTTGTGATCCATCAAAACTTATGTAATTACGAAGGGTATCTTAAACATATTCACTGAATGCAGACTTCGCAAAGATTTGATGCTTGGCGCAATAAAATAAATTTGGCATCATTTTGTGTGTAGTATTCGCAAACACATCAGAAATCATTGTGCAGTCTTGTATAGTAAACTAGTTGTTCCGGCAGACGTTTTTCTGTCCTTTCCTGTAGATCACGCGATGAACTTCTCTTCAAAAACACTTCAGGCTTTTCGCAATGTAAATATAAAATTTATTAATAACTCGAACACAGCGCCATCTGACGGATCCAAATTTAGTGACTTTTTTTTGGGAATAAGCCATATTATATTTTGTTTATATTTTGTTCCATAAACATAGAATTTGTTAATGATTAAACTACAGCGCCACCTATCGAATACTAGTACAGCTATGAACTATCACCTTGACAAAACAAATATATTGTTCGAATATTACGTCAATCGGTGAAGTCGTTCAGGAGTTACACTATCACTAACAGACGCACCAACGTTTATATACTTAAAGATACTAGCTGGCCAGTACGCATTTTTTTATAGAATAAATGTGACAAACGAGCATACAGTCCACCTGATGGTTAGTGGATGCTAATTCCAATAGTCCTCTACATTTGTCCTCGATTAAAAATCAAAATGTAGATGCGTTATCACCCCTGATGACTAAGATGGAACGCCTCGTTTCCGGAAAGAAGGGTCGCCGATTCTCTACAATCATCATACGAAACACAGCTGCTATTTTACGCTGGTATTCTGTGAGAGCGTGGTCCTATCCCGGTCGAGCCAACCCATTCGTACTACAACCATAACATAGCTGCGACATTGATCTTAACGGCTCCGTGGCGCAGGGACTTATTAAGTTAATTACTAAGGGCCGCGGGTTCGATTCTCGTACGGAACAAGTATTTGTATGGCCTACAAATAATTGTTCCGGGTCTGAATGTTTGCCCCCACGACACAGGAGAAAATCCTAGTGTGGAGGTTAAGTTTTAAAAAAAAAGATCTGTCCATTCGAGGCGAAATGATTCTTTGCACTTCGCTTCGCACTTTTAGCACACATTGCCGGATCATCGCAAGATCATCATCAATCGGTCAAGTCGTTTAAAAGTTACACGATAACTAAAAATTACTAACGATTTATAAGGATGTAAAAATTATTTTACTGTTTAGTGAACACATCATCCACCCCGGCTTCGCACGCGTAATTTTTGGATCTCGACAGCAGCGCCACCTACCGGGTTCAATCAAATTTGTAAATCTAAATCATCCAGACTCTAACAACCAAAAAAAATAATCAAAATAGGTCCAGCCGTTTAGGAGGAGTTCAGAGACAAACACGTATAGAATAATTATACATATAAAGATATACAGATGGTAAAATAAGCTTTCATAACTAAACTACGTATAATTAATAGACAATATCGAATTATTTGTTAATTATAGCAGTAAATCATCGGATCATTAATCATAGGACAACGTCCAGATACAATAAGCAACTCAGTAACACAAACAACTATACTATTAGTATGCCATTCTGCTCCTTACATATACATAACGTAGATGTATAGTGTATACGTATACCTACGTGAACACTACGCTTGTGTACGCAAAATTACGTACTTGATATTTCGACGTGGATCGTTGTATCTACATGCGGTAGCGGGCTATGGCATCTAAGGAGAATTAATTAAACTGCGGTATTTACTCATTTATTAATCAAGGTAGCGTCTGGTAACGTTGCGGCTTACTTTTGCCAAGGTTCGTTCATCTGAAGTTAATATCTTAACTAATGTTACTATATTCAAAAAAATTTAAAGGAGTAGTAGATAGGCATACGCGAGCAACCTGAGCTCGAACCGGCACCAATAGAATTGTTAGTTAAAATTTTAATTGCTAATTAGCTACGTGCTCGTCGAAAAAAAATGTCGTGAGGAAACCAGCATGTTTGAGGAATTGACAATGTTTCGAGGATATGTGAAATCCAGCAACATGCAATGGAGTAGCTTGTTAAACTTTTTCTTTATCGTATGGGACGTAGAGGAGGTCTATCCCCAACTTCTAAGTCTACTGTAAGTTACACTCACCAGCTCAACGTGGTGGCAGTCAATGATAGAGGCCAATGGGCAGCAGCTTATGATAGGCTGTACTTAAGATGATGATTACGAACGTTGCTGTAGTTATATAAATACTAGCTGTCCCTCGCGACTTCGCCCGCGTGGAGCTTACTACGATTTCATGGGTTTTAATTTTTTTGCGCGGAACTCTAATTTTTTTTCCTAAAATAAAATTATCCTAAGTTACTCCGTATAACATCAGCTATCTGCCAATGAAAGTTCCGTCAAAATCGGTCCAGTCATTTCGGGGATTAGCCGGAACAAACAGACAGACAGACAGACACAAATTTTAAAAATGGTTTTCTTGTTATTAGTACCGTATATACTTTCATATGCATTTAGTAAAAAGCTGATATTTTAACATTACCAACAGACACTCCAGTTTTATTTATTTGTATAGATTGTTATATCCTTATATACCGTTAGGTGTGTGTTAATTAACGGTGACTACAGGAAATGCCAAAAAGAGCTTATGGCTTCTGATAGATAGCGCTATAACCATTTCTTTACGCTAGGCGTTAAATACCCATACTTCGCGTCTTGAAAACAGAAGTGTATGAGCAGCGTCAAGAGGACAAGAAGTCTTGTAATGTGATCGTCAATCGGCCTCCCAAACGTGGCGATTGAGTCCACTTCTAAAATGAAAGTAAATGAACGTCCAACTGTCGGGCACAGGCTTCCTTTCATTTCAATGAGAGTTACGGAGCGGAAAAGACCGCCCGCGACGCCTCACTGCTTATTGACGGACTTCTCTTTTCCCAGAAATGTGTTTTTAATTTCACAGATATTTTCTCGTATAGTTTTCTTTCACAGTCGAGCGCAAGATTTGTCAATAACTAAAATTGAAAATACAAAATATAAGGCGAGCGCTCTACAATTAAGCTCAGTCTCGACTAATTTACGTTGAAAATGAAAATTATTAAGTTGCTTAAAATTGAAACATGATTATACAAAAAATTTTTCAATTACCTTTGATATAATTTTATTTTTCATGCAAATATTTATAAATAATTCGATTTGAAACATTATTTCATAAAAAATACTTGAAATGTTATATTATATATATATATATATATATTAGGTTAGATTAGCGACCCATCCTAGCTTTGTCTGTGCAGGATCTATTAATATGGTGTCATTTAAGATGTCTGAAGTCTCGTGGTGTCATAGTCACTGATAGAAACAGCACGACACTCAACGGCATCTTAAAATAGATCAGCGTTTGAGTATTTGGGCATTAATAAATTATTAAATAATACGTTACATGTAAATTGAAAAAAAAAACTAATAGTTATTGTTCATAAAAGTATTCCTGAATTGAATTAAACGTTTTGTCAATAGCCAGTCGTGTATTTTCCTTTTAAGCATCATTAAAAAAAACACTACAGATTATAGACTATTAGGAAACTTATTCTTAATTTTAATCGTGGAAAACCATTATATTAAAAATGTTCATAATGAATTAGGTGAAATTCGCGTACTAAAAAAATTATGTGTCTTAGCTAGTTTAATTTCTTCAAATTATATAGTAAGTAGTTTTTAACATATTTAATTGGATATTTACAGTCTTTTTATATTGAGTAACAAAATTAAACCTTAATGATGTTCTCTGATAACTATTGTTATTTAATCTCATTAGGGCTTTTTTTTAAAAAAAAGCATATCTATTTATTATATTTAGGTATATATGATAAAACTATATATGATTTTTTATGCAACATTTTTACTTTTTTAAATAATTTAATTAACTTTTAGTCAAGCTGACTTTCCGTGTAAACGCGGCTCAAACTTCAGCCCCAAGTAACGTTCGTGTAAGTAATGCTTGAGAGTAAGCACTCACACAGCGGATGGAGGCGTTACTGCACAATATAAATCATCCTTACTGCTTCACTATGAGACAGGTTACTTTGCACTATGACTTGCACTCTGTACAGGCTAATGAGGGTAATTAAATACGTGAAGGTAAGTAAAATGACTAACTAAGCTTAATGAAACTGCATGGGTGGGAAATGTACAGGGTATTTTTGTAGCATTTTATGCAATGACAATTTTGAAGTAAGTAT